CGTCGTCGAGTGACCGATATCTCATGTCGGTTATGACATGTCGGTTACTACATGTCGGATACGACATATCGGTTATAACTACTCGAGCCGATATCTATGACTTATTAAACCGACACCACAAGACGGTGCCAACTCAGCACAACTCATCATTACACCTGGCCAAGTGGCACGTTACTAAGATGAATGGCAATCAGCCGCCGTTGACTATTCTTGTGTAATGATTACATATTAGATAAATGTTGTAAATAAATATAAAAGGAGAAAACAGTTCTCCAATCAGGAACAACACGCATACAATAATATTCGGAAAAATTCTATCTCCTTTCATCGTTCATACAAGCCTTCATTGCTTTATCTTAAGTTTATTACAAATCCCTGTCGATTATATAGTTGTTAATTTTCGTTTGACAACAGTTTGGCGCTAGAAGAAGGGCATATCACGTTTTGAAGTTAACTTTCACCGTTAAAGCCATTTTCACGCTCGAAGCCATCATGTCGCAGTCTGGTCGAGACCACACAACTCATCCTGGCCAGAGCCAATCGACTAACCATTCTCCGCGGCATGCAACACCACCTCCTCCGGTCACGAACATCACGAACTTTCTTCAAAACCCAGAGTTTATTCAAGGTTTAACCTCGATAGCTCGAGCCATGCCCAGAAACTCGAATACGGTACCATTATCGATGCCGTTAACTACTAATCCAACAGAGCATCCAACCCATACTCGTCATGACCCCGAAACGCATGCGGCGACATCCCATGCTACGTCTCAACCTCACCATACTTCTCCCCGTCGAGAAGAGTTAACTCGTATAACTGCTAACCCAATAACGAATAATTAAGCCCCGGAGGAGCCCCCTGTACAGGAAATGACTGCTGAAAGTCACTCTGCTCATCATCAACGAATTCCGTCACGTTCTAGACCCATTTCATCAGCGCCTCACGCTCGTGAAGATTTGCGGCGCCAGATTGAACGGAATCGTCTTTCAAGACATAGCGCGGAAGAAATTGAAACTCTTCATAAACGCCTGGCTGAACTCGAGACTCGACAGAAGTCGCAGGAAGACTCTCCCCGACATGTCACGACGTCGGGAAATGTCATTATTGAAGCAGATTCCCCTTTAGCTCCGGAACTTACCGCGGAGGCACTCCCAGCTAAGGTAAAAATCCCACAAATTGGCATGTATGATGGGACATCGGATCCGGATGCACACTTGGGCCATTATACGTCTTGGATGGATCTACATGGTGCCTCAGACGCTTTGAGATGTCGGATGTTTTCGCTTACACTGGGGCCACGAGCACAAAAATGGTACTATACTCTCCCACCTCATTCAATTTGGAAGTGGCAACAGTTACGCTCGGCCTTCCGATCACACTTTATCGGAGCTCAAATTTGTCTCATCCCAAAAGAATCAATTACCAACATCGTGCAAAAGGACGACGAGACTGTTAAGGACTACGTGTCTCGGTTCAACGACCGAATTCAGAACATGGAGCCTTGTCACCCTGAAACCTTGTTAGTAACCGCCATTGCTGGACTGAAGCCCAACTCAATGTTTCGCTGGACCTTGTGCCAAAATAAACCTGCTACGTTTCAAGAATTTCTTGTGCGAGCTCAACAGTTTATTATTGCCGAGGAATCAATGTCGATTCCTAGCTTCGACTTCTCGGTGAAAGAAAACAAAATTGAACCGGACGTTAAAAAGAAGAATAAGAAGAACTTTGGGAAAGCACAGTTTCGAAATTTCTCCAAAGGATATGAAAATACTCTAGAGTCTCGGGCTGCTCGTGATCAGTATTCAGATAATGTTAGGACATGCTATCAGGCCGTTTATTCCGCCGGAGCAGCCACCATATATGAAGAACTGAAAGGAAAAGGGATTATTCCAGACCCGAGGCCTGTGAGAACCCCTGAAGACAAGCTGGACAAAACTCGGTACTGTGCATACCACAAGTCTCCGGGACATAATACCGATGAGTGTCTCGGTCTTTTGTCGGCACTCTTACGGTTAATTGGACAACCCCAGCTTCAAAAGTTCCAAAATTTCGATAATCGCCGGAAAGGAAGGGCCTTGGATCTTTCAGATGATGAAGATGATGATAACCGACCTGTTAATCCGAAAAGAGCTCGTGCAAACGATAAGGAGGTTTTCACGTTTTCTACTCATGTCGGAACCTCGACTGATTACTGTAGGAAATCCAGAACACATGACGCCTTAGACTCTTCACACTGCATACCGCGAGTTAATTCCAATAACAAACAGCTGGATACGTCTCGACGGAAAGTCAAAGCCTATGCCCGGGAGGCACAAAATGCCGATAAACGAGTCATGAATGTTGATCTTCGAGATACCATCAACAAACGGAATTGTCCCATCACATTCAGTATCGAAGATGCCAATTTATTTGCTCATCCTCATGCTGACGCCCTTATTATAACAGCCCCGATTGGAGGGATTCCTGTTCATCGGATTCTGGTCGACACAGGAGCTTACTCAAGTATTTTAATGCTCCGTACGTTCAAGAGATTGGGTTTGGACCCAGCAGACATTAGGCCTTGCAACGACCAAATTCAAGGTTTCAATGGAAGCATTTCTTGCCCTGTCGGCGAAATACTGCTCCCTATTCGGTTTGGTGGCTTTGTACCAAAATCCAAGATCATTATGGAGACTTTCAAAGTCTTGGATGTCCAAAATGAATATAATGCTGTAATAGGACGAACTGCACTTTACAAACTTCGTGCTGCTTTGTCAATTTTTCATTATGCCCTGAAGTTCCCCACCATTGAAGGAGAAGGCACTCATTACGGAGACCAACGAGAAGCCCAAAGTTTGATGTTGCTCTCAACCTCGCGTAACTTTCATATGATTGAAGTTCAGGGTGCTGATAACTCTGTTGGACTGAACAATCCAACTCTTAATGCTGAAAGAACCGATCAGTTCGCTTCAGATACCAACGTTCCTCTTACGGATACCGATACCCCTATGGCGTCGGTTTTGCCTGAAACATTAACTGAAGTATTTGATCAAGAGCAGCCTTTTCATGAGAAAGACACAGAAATGCAAAAAGATATGGATCCACGGATGCAGTTCAAAGATGAAAATCATCATGTCCGAGCCGAACCAGTTGAAGATGTCGAAATCATTTACGTGGATGGATCGACTCAAGAAAAATCACTGCGTATTGGAGCTAACCTACAAGAACCCATTCGGTCAAGCTTAATTCAGTTCCTTCAGTCAAACTCCGACGTATTCGCTTGGAAACACGAAGACATGAAAGGGATTGATCCACAAAAAGCGTGTCATCGCTTGAATTTGGATAAGACTGTCAAGCCCGTCATACAGAAACGCCGGAAATTTGGTCCAGATCGTCAGAAGGCCCTTGAAGAGGAAGTAAACAAGCTCATAGACAATAAGTTCGTGAAAGAAGCCAAATACCCGACGTGGATATCGAATCTTGTCTTGGTCAAGAAAGCCACCGGCCTTTGGCGTCTGTGCATAGATTTTTCAGATTTGAATCAAGCATGCCCGAAAGATAGCTACCCCATTCCACACATTGATTACATGGTAGATGCTACATCGGGACATCAACTCATGAGTTTCTTGGATGCCTATTCCGGCTATAACCAAATTCCCATGCACCCTGATGACGCTGAACATACCTCGTTCTACTTAGCTCGAGGCCTCTATTGCTATGTCATGATGACTTTTGGATTGAAGAATGCAGGGGCCACATACCAAAGGTTGGTCAATAAGATGTTTGCTCGTTTGATCGGCCACACGATGGAAGTTTACGTGGACGACATGTTAGTGAAATCGGAACAGGCCTCTGATCATATCGCCCATCTTTCCGAGGTCTTTGATATTCTCCGAGAGTATTCTATGGTGCTTAATCCCAAGAAGTGTACTTTTGGAGTTGGATCAGGGAAGTTTTTAGGATACATGGTGAGTCAAAGAGGGATTGAAGCCAATCCCGCCAAGATTCAAGCCATACTTGGCTTAGCTCCCCCGACATCTATTAAGGGTGTCCAAGCTTTGACCGGTCGACTGGCAGCTCTAAATCGGTTCATTTCAAAGTCGACAGATCATTGCAAGCCGTTCTTTGACGCTATCAAAAAGAAGAAGCCATTCGAATGGACCGTAGAATGTCAGAATGCTTTTGACAACATCAAAGAAGTCCTCTCACGGTTACCGACGTTGCAGAAACCGCTTCCTGATGAACCTCTGTATTTGTACCTTGGTGTAAGTGACGTTGCTGTTAGTGCCGTTCTTATACGACAAGACGGGCTTCAACAGTTCCCTATATATTACGTTAGCAAGGCTCTGCATGACGCTGAATTGCGATATCCATATATGGAGAAGTTAGCCTTTGCTCTGATCTTCGCTGCACGGAAGTTGCGTCCATATTTTCTGGAACATTCAATTATCGTGTTTACGACATACCCTCTCCGACAAGTCCTTCACCGACCTGACACGTCGGGAAGAATGATTAAGTGGGCGATAGAACTGGGACAGTTTGATATTCAGTACCGTCCACGAAATGCTATCAAAGCTCAAGTGTTGTCTGATTTCATTTCTGAATTTACTCCCACTGTCAATGCATCCATTGAAGATCCGACATGGACTCTCTACGTCGACGGATCGTCCACCGCTATACGAGCTGGAGGAGGAATTGTCGTAGTTAGTCCTGACCAACAAGTGTTTTGCTACTCTGTAGCATTCACCTTCCCGGCCACCAACAACGAAGCCGAGTATGAGGCCCTCTTATCAGGCCTACGCTTTGCTGAATCCATGAATGTCTCCTCTCTACAAATATTTTCTGACTCTCAGTTACTAGCCAGCCATATCAATGGCACTTACGAAGTTAAAGAACCACGGTTGTTGCCTTATTTTGATCTCGTAAAGAAGAAGCTGTCACGGTTCAAAATGACGTTGGAGCATATACCTCGGTCATCCAATATTCAGGCAGATGCTCTTTCACGTTTGGCCTCGTCGACCGATTTGAATAATGTCGAGTTCGTGCAAATTACTCAACAGGCGACCTCGTCAACAGTCTCTACCGACGTCGTCATGATTGAGGCCGCCCCATCAACTTCAGATCCGACGTGGATGGATCCAATCGTCGACTATCTTCAAACCGGGGCCGTACCTGAAGACCCAAAAGAAGCTCGCACTCTTCGTGTTCGAGCTGCTCATTTCACTATTGATCAGGGAACATTATATAAGCGTGGATATTCTACCCCATTGCTTAAGTGTTTGTCAGAGATTGACGCTCAACGAGTTCTTCAAGAAGTACACGAAGGAGTCTGCGGTACCCACCAAGGAGCTCAAGCTTTGTCCCACAAGATTCTCCGGCAAGGCTACTACTGGCCGACTATCAGAAAAGATGCCGCAGACTGGGTGCGAAGATGCCACAAATGCCAGATATTTGCCCCTAACGTTAATCAACATCCTGAACTCCTCAAGTCAATTTATAGCCCGTGGCCGTTTGCAAAATGGGGAATTGATTTAATCGGCCCACTTCCAACAGCAAAAGGAGGTGTTCGGTTTGCAATATTGGCTGCTGATTACTTTACCAAATGGGTAGAGGCTGAACCTCTCGCAACTATAACGGAGCAGAAGATGATCGATTTTGTATGGAAATTAATCGTTTGTCGGTTTGGAATTCCGAACTCCATCATAACCGACAACGGTTGTCAGTTTGAAGGGAAGCGATTTGAAAGCTTTTGTGAAAACTATGGCATCAAGCACTTCTTTTCGTCACCTTATCATCAACAAGCTAATGGACAGATAGAAGTCGTAAATAAGATCATCAAGAATGGTCTGAAAACTCGGCTAGAGACTGCAAAGGGATCATGGCCTGACGAGTTGCCTTATGTCCTCTGGTCTTACCGGACGACGACAAGAAATTCGACTGGAGAAACTCCGTTTTCGTTAGCATACGGGACTGAAGCTGTGATACCGGTTGAACTGGCTTCTCCGACATATTGGGTCACTTGCTTCTCTGAAGAAACCAACTCGGCGAACTTGAAAGCCAGTCTCGATTTGGTCGATGAGTTACGGGCTGACGCTGAAATTCGAAATGCCGCTTATAAACGACGTAGTGAAAAGTACATCAATTCAAGACTCAAGCCACGCTCATTTGTCAAAGGAGACCTTGTACTGAAAAGAGTCACTGGGGCCAATGTCGGTCCATTACAACCGAAGTGGGAAGGACCCTTTAAAGTAAATCGTCTGATTTGTAATGGTACCTACCGACTCGAAACTCTGGGTGGTGTTCCCCTTCAATATCCCTGGCACACAACCTATCTGAAGAAGTACTACCAATAAGCTTGAAGGCCAAAGTTCTGTCCTTGACGTGTAAAAAGATTTTGTCCTACTCCTGTACAAGAACTACATTTTGCTGTCAATAAAGTTTGTGTGACGAGCCTCTATAATTTGTTCGATCACTCAGACCACTATAAATCGGTCCTCGTTGCTAAGGCTAAACGTGTTTCATACCCTGAAGTTGGTATGACATGGCCAAGCGCGACAAAGCCGGATACTTCCAAGCCCTGAAGTTGGTTTGGGGAGGCTTATGCTCTATAATATCAAATCCCGACGTTGATTTGATGAGCTCACAATAAGTGTTTACAGTAAAAAGCAAGTCTTTTATGACTTGTTCTAATAAAGAGTTTGCAGATGTCGGATAATTTATAAATAGTGCCGACACAAAAAATTTAACCAAACTCAAGGCAAGACAATGTATTAAATTCCACGTCGGAGTAATTACGAGCACGATTCATTAAGCGTTCGTTTATCTTCCTCCGACATGTTTTGACTTGGTACGGTAAATGTCAAAACAATGCATTCATAAAACACGAAATTAAATTAAAACATTAAATTTCATTCATAATGAGAGATCGTCATTACATTCAAAATGCGAAACAGAAAATCAAAACAAACAACTAGTATGGGATCTCATTCATCTTTGTTCGTCCCTGATGACGACGCCCCTCCAGTTGTTGAAAAGTGAAGGTTCCCGGCGTCAGCTTTCCCTTTATCTACAGCATCCAGATGATCAATCAACCTCTGGCTTAGGCGTTGGATCACCTCCTCTTCCTTTTCCTCCAGTGCTCGGACGACATCACTCTCTTTTATGATGACGACATCATCATCATCCTCGTGCAAGACGTGGTCGTCGTCGGAGGGAAATGGTTCAACCACCCATCCTTTGGCCTTGGCATCGTCCTCTGTCACCTTTCGTAGGGCGAAGCTGGTAATTGCGCCCAGGAGTTCCTCGTCCGATAGCCCTTCAAGTGTCTCGACGACAAAGGCCTCGACGATTGCCTCTACACATATATTTGCCATTTCGGGTTTCTTGGCCTTTTCCACCTCAAGGACCATATCAATGAACGCCCGACGAATTTTGGCTTTGCGTTCCTCCGACAAAGGCACCATATCCAACTCCAGCATCCGACTTTCCTTCTGCTTTAGAAGTCGGTCGGCAAAATCCCGCTCATCTTGATCTGCTGGGATATGGGCGCTCTTCATCTCAGGATTGAGACCATGCTTCTCCATCTTATGTAGGAGGAAAATACGCAGCTCGTCGATGGTATAGACGCCGTTTTCCACCCTGTCAATCACCCAGCGCAACGTTAGTGTGGCGTTTAGCTCTAAATCCCATTCGGTTATCACGTCTGCACTCAACGCCTTGTCGGATT